TCCAGAGAAAGGTTCCTCTGAGAAGAAGTCTGAAACTCTGGGACAAAATGACATTCCTGTTATCAACATTCCGATATTCGAAATGGTTTGTACATCTGCCAATCCCTCCTGTAGTGGTAGCTAATGCTGCATGTAGGTATATTAATTTTGAGACATACATTTTCTCACAACGAATGAAACACAACCTTGTCCATTAGAGAGAGTGTGTTTACTAGTAATACCAGACAGCCCCGAGCTAATTTGTTACAAAAAAACCCATTTTAATATCAAATAATGTTTTAAATACATTCGCCGGGTTCAACGTCAAATATTCTGCACTGTAGAACTGGTGGTGATAACTGGCGGTATAATCCGATCTGGGTCGTTTCGAATCCCCCCTTTTAGTGTGATATTGATCCTTTGTTTGTCAGCAACACATCAACATATGTTGTATACAGGGGGGTTGAAGCCCATATCCTCCATTTTCTTTTATGACGCAACATAGGTGTGACCTTTGTTTGACCCATCCTCCTTCGAAAGTCCCCTTTCCGGCCCAGGTGTGTGTGACCTTCAGGTTCAAGTGGTCTGTGTTTATTATTCAATTATCTTATGAGTGGTATGAGTTTGCCGACTCGAGAGTATATATATAATTTTGATAGTAACCAACAAGCCTGTATAAATTGAAAAGGAGCCCTAAGGACACCAGAGATTCAGAACCTGAGGAAATATAGACTTGCTTTATTTAGGGTTTTAGCACTGCAGAGAGGGTATGTGGCAGTTGGGAAAATAATGTGGTTCAGGAACAGTGAGACAGACTAAGCATACGCGTTCAACGTAGAATTAATATCACACAATGAGGGGGGAATTTAGCTGCTATTTATAAGGCCAAAATATCACAGCGCATTTTGTTAAATCAAAGTTTAAAATACGCTGTCACACAAGGAACAACACCGAATGTTCTGAGTATTACATATCTGTCAACAATAAACGGTTGTTGCTGTTAAAATTCATGTGGGTCCGTATATGCGTGAATTGGGCGCAGTCTATAGGCATTAATACAAAACACTATGCTATTCACAAATCCTAAATAATATGTATCATGAAGTGATTTCAAAATTGTACCAATATAAGTCTTGGGTAGAATTGATGATGATTGTAAAGAAATGACATCTGATGTAGAGAGTGAAGGACAGGTCAATGAGGAAGGGTAATAAGACAACAGATGTAAAGTAGGCATTTGGGAGAGCTCCTATCTTAATGTCTACTCATTTGAAACGGAGCTAATAAACAATGAAATCTGTATATCTCTCTTGTTTCTTAATGTATTGTACCCATGAAGTACTGGGTTACCCTTCAGTAACCCATGCTTGTCGTAAGAGGCGACTAACGGCATGTGAGTAACCTATGTGTCACATGATGTCAAATAAGTGTCATTAACATGGACATAAGATGGGTTTTTTTATGTTTGCAATTTGAGAGTAAAGTTTTTAAAATGTTGAGTAAAAGTGAAAGTTTTACAGCAGAACACATATTTCTTATTCAGTGATATATATGACAAATGCTAAATCATTTCATCGCTGTACAACCAAACTACTTGAGATATTCAATGACCATCAGTCGTCAACTGCTTACTATTTCCTGTATTTAATTCCGGTCAGACACTTGTCTCCCTACATAACGGAAGCTGACCGCCTGTCAGCATACATTCAACATCAAATTGAAAAATTATCCATGCCATGTACTCATGATTACAGTCTGACCTTTAACCTACAATAAAACAATTTCTGGTCAACTTGAACCGCGAGCACAGGAAGTCACACATAGGAAGCTAAACACATCAACCCTCCCAGGTCCGCACCAACTGTCACCTACTTGAACATAATTTGTACACACATAAGTGATACAAATGACAGCATTAAATACTTTAAAATGGTGGTCAGTTTTAATGACTGGATGCTGGTGCTTTTAACAAACATAACACCTTACACTATTTCATCCAATCACGGCTGTCACATGTCTCTTTAGTGACGGCTCAGCGAGCAAGCGATTCTGCTATGCAGAATAGCATAGTGTTTTGTATTAATGCCTATAGACTGCGCCCAATTCACGCATATACGGACCCACATGAATTTTAACAGCCACAACCGTTTATTGTTGACAGATATGTAATACTCAACATTCGGTGTTGTTCCTTGTGTGACAGCACATTTTAAACTTTGATTTAACAAAATGCGCTGTGATATTTTGACCTTATAAATAGCAGCTAAATTCCCCCCTCATTGTGTGATATTAATTCTACGTTGAACGCGTATGCTTAGTCTGTCTCACTGTCCCTGAACCACATTATTTTCCCAACTGCCACATACCCTCTCTGCAGTGCTAAAACCCTAAATAAAACAAGTCTAGATTTCCTCAGGTTCTGAATCTCTGGTGTCCTTAGGGCTCCTTTTCAATTTAAACGGGCTTGTTGGTTACTATCAAAATTATATATATATATATAAGCATTAGTTTGTCGTGTGAACACTCGAGTCGGCAAACTCATACCACTCATAAGATAATTGAATAATAATCACAGACCACTTGAACCTGAAGGTCACAAACACCTGGGCCGGAAAGGGGACTTTCGAAGGAGGATGGGTCAAACAAAGGTCACACCTATGTTGCATCATAAAAAGAAAATGGAGGATATGGGCTTCAACCCCCCTGTATACAACAAACATATCCCCATGAAAAAGTTGTTTATTATATCAATCACTGGGTTGACCCTTAAAACTAATATCCCTCTGAAGATCCGGGGTAAAATTGGTCTTCAGCAACCCATTCATGTCGAGAGGTGACTAACAGGATCAGGTGGTCAGGCTCGCTGACGTGGTTGACACATGTCATCGTATCTCAGTATCGTAGATTGATGCTCATGATGTTGATCACTGGATCGTCTAGTCCAGATCCGATTATTTACAGACTACCGCTACATGGCTGAAATTGCCTGGTGTGGCGGTCAACAAAAACAAACTAAACACAGCATTCAAGATTGAGTAATTCCTTTTCCATTTTGTGTCTGACATTTCATTGAAACTTACTGAAAAATACTGACTGAACATTTCTGGAATGCACCAGGAATTTTATGTACATGAAATATTTGTCATCACTTTGAAGTGGCAAGTTGCATCATGTTAAACCTATCTGCAATAACAACCTGAATAGGAAAATCTGAAAAATGTCACTAACCAAGTTTTTTTCATGATTGCTCGTTTCTAATGAACCAATCATCAATTGTGAGATTCCCAATACTAATAAAAACTGGAAAATATTAAAGGAAAGCTTGAATTTTCCTTTGTTCCTTTGAAATGACGACCCTTTCGACTTCGACTTTTGACGACGACTTTGACGATCCGATGACGATCCGGATTTCGAAATTTTCTTTGTCGATTGAAAGTCGATCGACGATTTTCCTTTGTTCTGAAATGGATTTTGAAACCGAGGATCGACTTTGAAAGATGATTTCGAAACGCCTTTGAAACGCCGACGACGCTGACGCTGATTTTGCCGATTTATCGACGCTTTGATGCTGATGAAGATTTTGATGCCGATGACGGATTTGAAATTCGATTTGATTTATTTCTGAGTTTCGACGATGATTTCGATCTTTCCTGATTTGATTTTTCTGATTTTCGATTTCGCGAGCTTTCGAGGATTTTTCGCGGATCTGGAAATTCTGATTTTGTTTTGTCGATTTGACATTTTTGAAATGAGTTGATTTATCGTTGACGTTTGAGCCGTGATCGATTTCGAAATTTTGTTTTGAAATTCTTCTGAGTATTTTATTGATTTTTCTGGTTTTTGTTGATGACGACTTTTTCTTTTGATTTTTCGAGTTTATTTGCCTGGATGAGTTCCTGAAATTTTTTCGAGGAGCCCATTGATTTTGATTTCGAGTTTTTTCCGGAGATTTATTGATTTTATTTTTCGGATTTTTCCTTTATTTTTCTTGAATTTTTGACGATTTCTGATTTTTGAGTTGAGGATGTCGACATTGATTTCTGAGTTTCTTGAAATTTTTCGGATTTTTCGAGTTCCTGATTTATTGATTTTTCTGACTTTTCTGGATTTTCTTTTTCGATTTTTCTGATTTTTGAGCCGACGACGACGATTGATTTTTCGAAATTTCGAGATGATGACGCGCGATTTCGATGCCTTTCTCGATGACGAATGACGCGCGATTTTTTGATTGATCTTTGATTGATTTCGACGACGATTTCGAGTTTGATCGACGAAACGATGATTGATCGAACGTCGACGTTCTGAATTTCGATGCCGATCGATTCGACGTCTGAAACTTTGATGTCGATCGATTCGATTTTGAGTCGATACCGATTTGACCGACGAAACGGATGTCGATCGACGATACCGGATGACGACGGATCGACGTTCGACGTTTGAAACGACTTCGACGGAGTTTCTTTGAAACGATTTGATGAAAGATCGATCGACTTCTGACGACGCCGATTTGATGACTTCTTGACGGAACGCCGATCGACGTTTGATGACGACTTTGATTTTGATCGACGATTGATTGATCCTTTGAAAGTTTGATTTTGAAATTTCGACGTTTGATGACGACTTTGACGGATTTGACTTTGATTTGATTTATGATCGACGACGATTTTGTGCCGATCTGGAAACGTTCGATCGACGATGACTTCTGAGATTTTGATCCCGGATATCGATTTGCCTTTTGAAATGATTTCGAGAAACGATTTATGAAACTTTTGATGCTGGAGATCGACTTTGATGCGGATCTGATGAAAGGAACGATTTGGTTTCGAGGATTTCTTTGAGTTTTTTCAACACTCCCCTACCTTCCTTTCTCCCTCCCTGCCTTCCTCCATCATTCAACACCCTCCTGTCTCCTCCCTGCAATCCTCTATCATTCAGCACTCTCCTACCCTCCCTGTTTCCCTCGATTATTCAACAGCCTCCTTCCATTATTCAACAGCCTCCTGGTACTGGGGTTGTACGGGTTGTTCATGTGGTTCCCCGAGCTGTTCAGTCGGATTGAGAAGTTCGGAGGGACACCATGCGACCCCGGACCCATCAACACAACTATCAGCAACTCCACCGACGACCAAAGCAACACGACCATGTGCGAGTCGCCGAGTAACACCATCTTCTTGGAGGGTTTCCTAACAGCAGCATCCAACCTTCCTGGAAACTTGTTCACCATTTTCCTTATGGACAGACTTGGAAGAAAACTACTACTTTGTGAGTGTTTTTTGTGAGAAGATGGAATTCATATTAATAATCATAACAGTAATGTTCTTATCTATTTGAAAAGATGCCAAACAATATGTCATGCTAGGGGCCTGGTCATCTGAGGCAGCATAATTACTGTGTTGAGTTATCTCCCTTTGGGGAGCCAGTAGCCTGTGACTCTGTGATGGTCTCAAGTTTAAGTTTGTCCTGCTTGTGTTTATATCTTCCCGAGTCCTACCCTCATGAGTTTTACTGTAACTGGTAATAACTCTCCCCCTCAAGCTGACAGGATCTGATATAACGGGAATATTGTTCCCAAAATATCACGCCTAAAGTCAGACTTCCTTCTCATTCACGACACCGCCTCTTCTATGCCTGCATGCACACACGTACATCTTTGCTGTTCACTGTAAGTAATTTGATATTGACTTGTCAGTGCACTGATGGATGTCGGTTAGCATTTTGCGAGTAAATTCTGATGAACAGCTTAGTAAATGGCTGTGTCACACGACATCATACCACACCACATCATATCACACCACACCACATCATACCACACAACACCATGACATCACACCACACCACCACATCATACATCATACCACACCACATCACACCACCACACATCACACCACACCACACCACACCACACACAACACAACACAAGACATCACTATATCACCACACTGCACCAAACCACAAGATATCATACCACACCACACTCATGCTACACCACACCACATCACACGATATCATACCACACACATGACATCATACACACCACACCACACCATACCACAATACACAACACCACATGACATCACACCACACCACATCATCATACATCATACCACACCATATCATCACACCACACCACATCATCACACCACACATCACACCACACACACCACACCACACCACACCACACTACAGCCACAACACAACACGACATCACACCACATCACATCACACCACGCCCCTCATCATACATCATACCACAAATAGACCACACCACACCACATCATACTCACACCATACCACAGGCACACCACACGACACCACCTAACAGCCACAACACAAGACACCATGCTGACTACATCACACCACACCACACCAAATCACACACGATATCATACTACACCACACCACATGAAATCACACTACATCACATCACATCACATCACACCACACCCTATCACACATCATACCACACCACATTACACCACACAGACACCACACATCACACCACACACATCACACCACACCACAGCACAACACAACACAAGACATCACACCACATCACACTACACACACCATCATACGACATCATCACACCATACCACACACACACATACATCACACCACACCACATCATACCACACCACACCATACCACACCACACCACACCCACACCATGTCCTACACCATGTCCTACCACACCACAGCCACACCACACAATATCATACCACACACCACACCAAACCAAACCACATCATACCACACCACACCACAGCCACACAACAGCACACCACACCACATGACATGACATCACACAACACACACCATCACACAACATTATACCACACCACATCACACCACAAGACACCACAGCACACCACATTTATCACATGACATCATAACACACCACTTCACACCACAAGACACCACACCACAACACAACACAAGACACCACACCACACCACACACAGCCACACTACACCACACCACAGCCACACTCACACCAGTACACCACATCACACGACATCACACCATATCACACCGCAAGACACCACAGCACACCACACCACACTACAGCACACCACACCACATTATACCACATTATACCACAGCCACATCACATCACACCACACCATATCACATCACAAGACACCACACCATAACAGACTACACCACAGCCACACCACAGCACACGACATCACACCACAGCCACATCACATGACATCACACCACACCAAACAACACACCACACCACACAACACTGTAGACCACAGCACATACACCCCTGCCACACTGTATAACACCACACCACACGACATCACACACCACATCACACCACACCATACCACACCACAAGACACTCCTATAACACACACCACCACACACACCACATTATACCACAGCCACATCACACCATATCACACCACAAGACACCACTCCACCCGACACCACAAGACACTACACCACACCACACCACATTATACCACACTACACCACAACCACATCACACCACAGCCACAACACACAACATCACACCATCACCACAGCCACACCACAGCCACATCACACCATCACCACAGCCACAGCCTAATCACACAACACCACAGCCACACCACACCATCACCACAGCCACAGCCTAATCACACAACACCACAGGCACACCACACCACAGCCACACCACATGACATCACACCACACCAAACAACACATCACACCACACCACACCACACCACACCACACAGCACCACATCATACATCACACGACATCACACCACACCATATCACACCACAAGACACCACGCCACAAGACACTACACCACACCACACCACATTATACCACAGCCACATCACACCTCACCATATCACACAACAAGACACCACTCCACTTCACACTACAAGACACTACACCACACCACACCACATTATACCACACTACACCACAGCCACATCACACCACAGCCACATCACACAACACAACATCACACCATCACCACAGCCACATCACACAACACCACAGCCACATCACACTACACCACAACCACACCACACCACAGCCACACCACACCATATCATACCACATCACACCACACCACATCACACCACACCACAGCCACACCACACCACAGCCACACCACACCACATCACACCGCAGCCACACCACAAAACAAGCACACCACAGCCACACCACATCCGCACCACACCACAGGCACACCAGAGCCACATCACACCACAGCCACATCACACAACATCACACCATCTCCACAGCCACAGCTTAATCACACAACACCACAGCCACACCACACCACACCACAGGCACACCATCACCACATCACATCACACCACACCACATCACAGCCACATCACACAACATCACACCATCACCACAGCCACAGCCTAATCAAACAACACCACAGCCACACCACACCACAGCCACATCACATGACATCACACCACACCAAACAGCACATCACACCACATCACACCACACCACACAGCACCACATCATACGACATCACACGACATCACACCACACCATATCACACCACAAGACACCACACCACAAGACACTACACCACACCACATTATACCACCACCACATCACACCACACGATATCACACAACAAGACACCACTCAACAACACACTGCACCACAGCCATATCACACCACACCATATCACACCACAAGACACCACTCCACCCCACCCCACAAGACACTACACCCCACCACACCACATTATACCACACTACACCACAACCACATCACACCACATCCATATCACACAACATCACACCATCACCACAGCCACACCACACCACAGGCACATCACACGACATCACACCACAGCCACATCACATGACATCACACCTCACCAAACAACACATCACACCAGACCACAGCCACACTACACCACACAACACGACATCACATGACATCACATGACATCACATCACGCCATGCCACATCACACCACATCCCATCTCATGACATCATACCACACCACATCACACAAGACACCACACCACAACACAACACAAGACACCACACCACAACACAACACAACACACCACATTTATCACACCAGACTACACCACCGGCACACCACACGACATCACATCACACCACATCCCATCACATGAGATCATACCACAGCACATCACAAAAGACACCACACACCACACAACAAAACACAACACAACACAACCACACCACAGCCACACCACACCACACCACATCACATTTCACCACACCCCATCACACATCATACCACACAACATCAGACCACAAGACACCACACCACACCACAAGACAGCACAACACAACACAACACAACGCAACATATATCATACAACACCAGACCACACCACACCACACCACACCACATCATACCACACCACACCACAGGCACACCACACCACATCACACTAAATCACATCTCACCACACCCCATCACACATCATACCACAGCACAACACAACACACATCACACCACACACAGTATTCAGGGAAGAATATACCCTGATTCCTATTTCCTTGTTCATGGTTACCTCCCCTTGCTGACTCTTCTCTGTTCTTGCAGCCTCCAGCATGTGTATATCGGGGCTGGCGGTGTTCATGGTTACCTCCCCTTGTGGACTCTTCTCTGTTCTTGCAGCATCCAGCATGTGTATATCGGGGCTGGCGGTGTTCATGGTTACCTCCCCTTGTGGACTCTTCTCTGTTCTTGCAGCATCCAGCATGTGTATATCAGGGCTGGCGGTGTTCATGGTTACCTCCCCTTGTGGACTCTTTCTCTGTTCTTGCAGCATCCAGCATGTGTATATATCAGGGCTGGCGGTGTTCATGGTTACCTCCCCTTGTGGACTCTTCTCTGTTCTTGCAGCATCCAGCATGTGCATATCAGGGCTGGCGGTGTTCATGGTTACCTCCCCTTGTGGACTCTTCTCTGTTCTTGCAGCATCCAGCATGTGTATATCAGGGCTGGCGGTATTCATGGTTACCTCCCCTTGTAAACTCTTTTCTGTTCTTGCAGCATCCAGCATGTGTATTATCAGGGCTGGCGGTGTTCATGGTTACCTCCCCTTGTGGACTCTTCTCTGTTCTTACAGCATCCAGCATGTGTATATTAGGGCTGGCGGTGTTCATGGTTAACTCTTTTCTGTTCTTGCAGCATCCAGCATGTATATATCAGGGCTGGCGGTGTTCATGGTTGACTCTTCTCTGTTCTTGCAGCATCCAGCATGTGTATATCAGGGCTAGCTGTGTTCTCCATATGGTTCGTACAAACCAAGGTACAGAATGTAGCAATATCGTGCGTGTTCGGAGCCGTCTCCACCATCGGCTGGAACGCACTTGACGTTCTCTCCACAGAGCTCTTTCCAACCAACGTCAGGTATGTTGTACTCCAGCTCTTCCCAAACATACCCGTGAATTCGTCATGCTTGTTGTAAAAGGTGACTAATGGAATCGGTCGGTCAGACTCGCTGATGTGGTTGACATATGTCATCATATCCCAGTTGGGTTGATTGCTCATGCTGTTGATCACTGGATTGTCTGGTCCAGACTTGGTTATTTACAGACCGCCGCATATAGCTGGAATATTTCTGACTATGGCATTAAACAACAAACTAACCAATCAAATTCTACTGAAAGTACTGTCAATATGTTAGATTTGATTTACACAGAGACCATCTACCGGTATATGGTCTCTGAATTACATTATAGTACTGATTTGGGTATGTCCAACTTGAGGTCAAAAACTTTTACACCCAAAGTGAAAAATATAGTTATGTTGTGATGTATAAAGGGTAGAAGAATGTAACTGAATAATTGTAACAAGCTATTGATCAATTTTTGTCACCTTTTTCTAACAACGAATCTTGAAACTCAGTCGTCAGCTAATCTGTCTCAGCCTGACTGACGACTCGAGTGCATGCCAGCTTTCTCGTCAGTGACTGGTCAGTTATTTATAGAAATGCTCGCTTTGGTTTCTATAGCTTTACTGTGAGGCCCCGATCGAGGACTGACAAATAACGAAGAAAGATCATTATCATTGCGAAAGTTACTTCATTTCGTTCTTGTATCGTGTCAAATTTTAATAGCTATATTTTGAACAGGTATGAAATGAAATCTTGAGTTTATTTTCAGTTTGAAACCGTTAACATTCCAGAAATTATCTGGTAGCCCACGGACAAATAAGACACCATTATTTGATCGCCCAAAATGAAATCTGACTTGAACAGGGCGTCGGACGATGAGATTTTTGAACTTGTCTTTATGTACTGTATATGAACACAGATAGGCCAAATTGTATTGACCAGAAAAAGCATTGGATGGCGGTGGGGTAGCCTAATGGTTAAAGTATCACCCTGTCATGCTGAATTTCTGGGTTTGGGTCCCTACATGGTTGCATTATGTGAAGCCCATTTCTGATGTACTCCACTGTGATATTGTAGGAACATAAAAGCGGCATAACACTAAACTCACTCACTCATTCCTGACGACGGAGTGATAGGTAACCTTGAAAACTCACTCTCTCACTCTTTGTGGAATACACCATTATCCAAACTGCCTAAATCTGCATTACAGAACTACAGCATTCGGTGTCCAAATAGGCATGGCTCGTATCGGCGCTATCCTCGGCAACGTGGTGTTCGGTGAACTTGTAGACATCCACTGCGCGGTACCAATGATCATGGTGGCCGTGTTGCTGTGTCTGGGTGGCCTGACGTCCATCAAACTCCCGAACACCACCGACGTTGACATTCATTGATGTGCAGAATCTCCCAACATCACATACCCCACATCTGTGTACAGGGATTGCATTGGGACGGTGTTCAGAGACTCTGTACGGAGCTTTTTGCAAGCGCTGTTTTTGGAGAGTAGTCATGTGTAAGGTTTTCTTTTTTTCAGGGAAACCCTTTAAATCAGGAATACTGTTTTCTTGATGCCTACTGTCCACAACGTATTTTACCGCCCAGAATAATTCAAGGATCATCCTTAGAAATGATGAGTCAAAAATATTTTTGGATGTTAATGTTTGATTTTGTAACGTTTCAGAGTCTTACCCCTTTTTCAAGATCTGGGTTAGAATTGATCTTCAACAACCCATGCTTGTCGTAAAAGGTGATTAACGGGTCAGGCCTGGTAGACACAGGTCACATCATATCCTCGATGCTCGTGATGTCAATCATTGAATGGTCTGGTCAAGACTGGATTATTTACAGACCATCACGATATAGCTGGAATATTGCTGAGTGTGGTGTTAAACAAGTAACAAACATGTCCAAACAAAAACTCCTTCTTCAGTTGAATGACACAGAGCTGATATATATCACAACCAGAAAACTTAAAACAATGGAAAATAACAGTGTAGGAAACTACTGCCCACCCGAACGCCCGAGACAGGTTAATTCTGTGGAGGGCTGGCAAAAAATAAATCTTACTAGCCCGATGGTTGGGCTCATATTTTATGTGTAATCATGAGAATCTTAGCTTTTGTAACAAAAACACTTGAGATGTATTAGCCGAGATTCGTGTCAAGCTGGTTTAATTTTGTGGAATTCTGTGTCAAGTTCATGACACTGATGTACGGCGAACGTCTATTGGTCAGTGTTAGTGAGTGAGTCAATCGTAGCAAGGCTTGGAACAGCGGCAGTAATGTAAAATGGCTGCGCCCAGTAAAGTGGCTGTGTAACATGTTGCCCCTATTTCTCGGATTGCCAGCAGAAAGCACTGTGATAAAACTGTTTCTTTTTATGGGCATTTTTAAATAAATATGAAAGCAAAGATACTTAAGAGTTTTGTTTTCAGGAGCCCATGCCTGGGATCCGGCGGTCAGGCTAGCTGACCTTGTTGACACATGTCATCGTATCAATAACATAGATCAATGCTCATGCTATTGATCGCTGGATAGTATGGTCCAGACTTGAATAATAACAGACCGCTGCCATGTAGTTGGAAGAGTGCGGCGTTAAAAAACAAACAAGCACAGACAGTCAGATCACAGAATGAAGGTGGACTTCAGTGCCTATATAACAAGTATATAGTGAGTGAGTGGGTTAATATTTTAAGTCACTTTGGCAGTATTTCACCCACATCGTGACTACAGATATATAGGATTATGAAGGAGTTATCACACTGTATAGTATCATTATTTATATACAAAGAATTTAATTAAGCACCCCCTGTATTTTTGCAGTGATAAGGTTTCCAACACATACATAAAACATCTCGTGGCGACCACGATGGAAAAACATGAGTTTTTCTGACCTGTATCATCCTTTGACTCATAAAATGACAAAATGAATAGAATCCATGTTTATTTTATGATGATAATTGCTCATATTTTAAACCCCCCGCTGATTTTCATGCTGTACAAGGCCCTGGAATGTTAAATGTTGAATTAATTGTCATTTTGTCATTTTGCATGTCTTACACGATTTAAGGTCAATATCGAGTGTAACCTCTATGTGACGATATGACAGCCTGCACTCTCCTCCTCATACCACCTGTCAGCCTACTAGGGGCGGTGGGGTAGCTTAGTGCTTAAAGCGTTCGCTCGTCACGCCGAAGGCCCGGGTTCGATTCCCCACATGGGTACAATTTGTGAAGCCCAGTTCTGGTGTCCCCCGCCATGAATATTGCTAAACACGGCGTAAAACCATACTCAGTCAGTCAGTCAGTTAGCCTACTGATCCTCTGAATTCCTCGTGTAAAGCAGCTTCCAATTGGGCTAGGTTCTGTACAGGAGGATCCGTTTGATGTACACAACGACCAATCATGTCCTAGATATGCTTCAAATGGTTACTGTCGGTGCCCATTCAATCATGAGATATGTCAGGGGGTGCTTAACTAAGTTCTTTGTGTATATATACGGTATCACAATGGCATACAGGGTATGGCTATCCCCACAGGATTCAGAACTGTGTTTTGTATATACATGTATTCCAGCATTCCACCATTCCAGATGTAAGTCATATATACTGAGGGAAACAGGTAATAAGGGAACACATGAAATTACAAGTTTCTTGACTATTTTCCAAATTTCTTCACACTCTTTATTTTGCACTGTGGGTGAAAATATTTCAAGGAACACTGTGATAAAGTGGTGTTCCCTTACTTGTTTCCCTCAGTATATTATTTCTGATCAATTAGAGCTTAGTTGAATTTGTTAAGCGGTTAGTTTCTCAAATGCAATTAAATATGCTATATGACAGACTGTTTTAAGGGTTTGTATGTACATTTGGGTTTGTGTTTTATGGTTGTACTATGGACAAAGGTGTATATGATTGAACTGTGTTTATGATTGTTGGTGATTGTTGACGATTTTATGTTGGGCTGGCTAAAATTATCGATAATTGGCAATATCGTTGATAGGAAAGATTATTGATAATTATCGATATGACTGTATATATACCAAGGAACTAGAATAAACATGTTTACAAAAACATTAAAATAAAACACTATGAAAAAAAGACATTTTTTATCTTTTGTATAAATACCTGCAATACATTTTCTTGCCAAAACAAGAGAATTATTTGTCCTAGGCCTGTTCCAGAAAGCAATCGGAGCTTCCATACTGTAATGAAGACTTATAGCAATATATCATGGCCCTATGAGGAATGGAGCTCCCTTACTGTAATGAATACTTATAGCAATATATCATAGCCCTATGAGGAATGGGGCTCCCTTACTGTAATGATGACTTATAGCAATATATCATAGCCCAATGAGGAATGGAGCTCCCTTACTGTAATGAAGACTTATAGCAATATATCATAGCTCTATGAAGAATGAAGCTCCTTTACTGTAATGAAGACTTATAGCAATATATCATAGCCCTATGAGGAATGGAGCTCCTTCACTGTAATGAAGACTTATAGCAATATATCATAGCCCTATGAAGAATGGAGCTCCCTTACTGTAATGAAGACTTATGGCAATATATCATAGTCCTATGAGGAATGGAGCTCCCTTACTGTAATGAAGACTTATAGCAATATATCATAGCCCTTTTAAGGAATGGAGCTCCCTTACTGTAATGAAGATTTATAGCAATATAGCATAGCCCTATGAGGAATGGAGCTCCCTTACTGTAATGAAGACTGATAACAATATATCATAACCCTTTGAGGAATGGAGCTCCCTTACTGTATTGTAGACTTACAACAGTGTATCAAAGCCCTATGAGGAATTGAGCTCCCTTACTGTAATGAAGACAAAATATTAGTGTGATCAACACATTTGATCACACATCAACACATAAATGAGAAAATTCTAATAACGCATTTAAGTATTCTTTATAGTACACTTAATCCATCACCCAAACAGGGCCTGTCGGTAGTTTTTGTTGTCCGCTGCCACATCACAGAATGGAGGACTATGTATTCGGCAGCATCCGTCCGTACGTCCCGATTCTTGTTAATGTCCGCTTGTCAAACTCTTGTTAACGCGATATCTCATGAACTGTTATACCCACTGTCTTTAAATTTGGTGACAGCCTACATTTGGAGGATTACGCAGACACCAGTCGACTTGAGTGACATTGACCTTATCGTCGAGGTCACCAAGACACTAACTGACCACTTTTCAAACTTATGTAAACGCGATATCTCATAAAACGTGCACTCAATTTTCGCCGCCGAAATGTTTTCTAAAAATTTGATCTTTTCATTCAAACGTACTTTATTCCTGAAATATCTTCAGAGTTTGGAGAAGATTCCATGAAGTGACCATGACTAGAAACTACATCACACAAAAGGTAATCTTCTATGTGACCAAAAGATACAAACTTGTAAATATGATATGCTTCATTCTTCTTTAGCAGTGGGGGACATTGCCATGTTTGTGGCAAACACTTGTTTTGCATACGATTTTCGTGCTTCGACATCCGTGGAAAAAAGGCATACAAGTGCCCTTTAAAAAGTGTGGCTCTAAACCTCGAATTATTGTCACCCAAATCATTGTTTAGACATCGACTGGTCCGAAAAACACTAATTTGGAATAATCGGAATATACTACGGCTAATTGAAAATGAAAGATGGCGAGCCTTTGGAATGTTTGAAACCAGAACACCCCAGTGCAATGTTGCACAGCAGTTTAACGTGCACGGGAACACCATTAGCCACTTGTGGAGACGTCATGAACAAAACACCGTCGTTGTAGACCGTCCCCGAAGTGGCCGTCCATCTGTAACCACGCCACTCAACCATCGTTGGATTCGAACCACCCATCTGCGGGAAAGATTCCAACCACCCACACTGACAGCCCGAACAGTTCCTGGTGTCAACAGAATATTACCAAGGACCATTCGCCAGCGTCTGGCCGCACACGGATACGTGCTGGGCGTCCTGCCAGACAAACCTGACATTACGTCATCAACGCCTACGACTGCAGTGGTGCAGACAACATGTACGATGGAGAGTATGTGAGTGCAATTTAGTGATTCTCGACGTTCACACCACTACGTTCATATTAGGGTAACGCTATTTTGCAGGACATTATCATTTGCAGAAGCCCGAGGTGTTTCATTAACTGCCCGACGAAGGATTCATACAATGGTATCGGTTTTGAAGCATCTACTGCTAACAAACAAATGACGAAGGTCACCGACTCACTTTTTACAAAAATGGAAACGTCATAGAACAAAACAAATGACGTCACTGTTCAGCGTGACGACATTGACCTGAACCTTTGCCCTAAGCTGGCAAATTCAGTGAACATTAATTTCACTAAGGACATTTTTCCCGTAAACACTCGTGCCTCGTGGGCTATTCTCTAAGTATATTGGGGAGTTAATGTGTTAGGATGTTAGGGTGTAAGGTTAATTAAGTTGACGTTTTCTAAATAAAATGATTGAGTTTCTCTTTTCTCTTTCTTATATTTTTACCAGCAATTAGACCTGCTTCATAGAACATATGCACTTGAAGCTGGCTATTTTACCATGATCATAATAATACAAAACACAAGGTTCTATATCAGATACTTGCTAACTTCAGCTGTCACAGGGCAGAGAAGCCTATGCTCCTGGTCTGGCTTTCCGTACATCTAGGGCATCCTCGTGTCCTCCATCCATCCTGTCTGATAAAGGTGCAGGAAGTAAGTTGTGCCTGATAAGATACAAACTCAGTAAAATCTAAATATCTGTTGTATGTTTGTACACTTTTCCTGTCCTACTTCGGTTAACAGTCCACTCTGCGCTTGAAGCTGCCTCTCCTCTTTGTCTTGAAGGTAATTATCCGAAGTGACATGCGTCACCAACTCGTGTTATTCTCTGGACAATAATTCTTGGAGGTTACGGAAAGAGGCGATTGGTGACGATTGGTGACGACTGCAGAGATGGCTGATATCAATTTCCGATGATGTGCGCGCAGACTGATGATCGGGCAAAACAAGGATATGATTGCAGTTCTACATTTCAGCATCGTCTGGCAGTCACGCTGGAGTCGTATGCTGTAAGGACAGGAAGTAAGTAGTGCATGAAAAGTATACAAATATAAACAAAATATTTACATTTTACTAATTTGTTTATGGAGTACAAATATTATATTTTTTTCGAATGCAGCACTGATATCGAAGCCGAACTTTGTATGATTCAAATGTGCAACATGAAATTTTGTATACTTCCTGGTTTGGGTATTTATTTTCCCATCTTGTCATTCTTCCAATCCATCCATTCCTTCCTTATCCATCCACTCCCACTCCATTCTCCATCCTCCAGTCCATTGAATCCATCTTCCATCTCCATCCACCTGTCCTTCCACTTCCATTCTCCACTCCCTTCCTGTCTTTCCTTCCTCCTCCTTCGTCTCCCTTCTTCGTCTCTTCCTCCTCCATCTTTGTCCTCTTCATCCCCCGTCTTCCGTCCATCATCCTTCCATCTTCCTCACGTCATTATCCCTCCCTCTCGTCCATTCTCATCCTTCCATCTTCATTCCCTCGTCCCTTCATCTTCCGTCTTCCGTCCCCATCTCCTTTGTCTTCCTCCCTTCCTTCCATCCTCGTCCCTTCTCCTTCATCTTTACCTCTTCCATGTCTTCCTCCCTTCATCTTCCAGTCCTCCCTCCATGTCCTTCGTCTTCCTGGTCCTCTCCATCTTCAGTCCTCCTCCATTCTTCGTCATCCTCATCCCCTTCCATGCTCCCTCCCGTCCTTTTCCCTCCCCTCACTCTCATCGTCCATTCTCCATCGTCTTCCTCCCCTCGTCCTTCGTCTTTATTCGTCCATTCCTTGTCTTGGCTCCTGGTCCCCTCGTCCTTCCTTCCTCTCCATCTTCCCTCATCTTTCTCCACTTCCCTGGTCCCTTCTCCTTCATCTTCCTTCCATTCGTCCTTTCCTGTCCATTCGTTCCTTCTTCCCTCATCCATTTCCTTCCATGTCCATCTTCCTTCGTCGTCCATCCATCCTTCCTCCCTTCCTCCCTTCGTCTTCCTCCCTCCTGTCCATCCCTTCGTCCGCCTCCTCTCCTCCATCCTTCGTCTTCCTCCTCCGTCCCCTCCCTCCATTCACTTCCTCGTCCTTCTCCTTCATCTTCCTTCCTCGTCCATCCATCCTTCCATTCCTTCTCCTCCGTCCCATCCTTCGTCTTTCCTTCCTCTCCCTCCATCCGTCCTTCCCTCCTCCTCCTTCGTCTTCCTCCTTCGTCCTTCCTTCGTCTTTCTTCCTCCGTCTCTTCCTCCATCCATTCCTCCTCCATTTCCTCCATCGTCCTTGCTTCTTCCATCCATCCTTCCTCCTTCTTCCATTCCGTCCATTTGTCCGTTGTCCTTCGTTCTTCGTCCTCCTCCTCTCCTCCGGTCCATTCGTCCTTTCGTCTTCCTCGTCCTCGTCTTCCTCATCCGTCCATGTCCATCCTTTCCTCCTTCTCCGTCTTCTCCTTCCTTCGTCTTCTTCCTCTTTCTCCATTCGTCTTTCTCCCTCCATCGTCGTTCTTTTCCTTCCTCCGTCCATTCCTCTTCGTCCATTCCTCTTCCACTCCTTGTCGTCCGTCTCTTCCTTCCTTCCGTTTCGTCTTCCGTCGTCCGTTCCTCGTCTTCCTCGTCCACTTCGTCCATCTCGTCCGTTCTCCGTTGTCTTCCGGTCCGTCCTCCTTCGTCTTCCTCGTTCCTTGTCTTCCTCCATTCCTTCTCCTTCGTCTTCCTCCATCCCTTCTCCTTCCGTCTTCTTCTCCTTGTCTTCGTCTTCTCCCTCGTCTTCTCCTCTCTTTCGTCTTTTCGTCTTTCCTTCCTTCGTCCTTCCGTCGTCCGTCTTCGTCCATGTCTTCCATCCGGTCTCTCTCCTCGTCCGTCCTTTCTCCACTCTTCTGTCCGTCTTCGTCTCTCCGTCTCTCCTCGTCTTCCTCGTCTTCGTCCATGTCCTCCTCGTCTCGTCTCTTTCCTCTCTTCCTCTGTCGTTGTCTCCATTCCACGTGTTCGTTCGTCTTCCTTCTCCTCCGTCGTCCCTTCGTCTCTTCCTCGTCTCCTTTTCCTGTCTTCGTCGTCCTCCGTCTTCCTCCTCGTCCTTCTCGTCCTTCCATGTCTTCCTCGGTCTTCGTCTTCCGTCCTCCTCGTCCTTCCCTTGTTTCCGTCTCGTCTCCTCGTTCGTTCGTCTCTCCTTCCGTTCTCCTCGTCCTTCTCCTTCTCCGTTGTTTGTCCGTTCCTTCGTCTTCCGTTCTTCGTCTTCGTCTTCCTTCGTCGTCGTTCGTCTTTCTTCCTCGTCTCTTCCTCCGTCGTCTTCCATCCGTCCATTCCCTCCCGTCCATGTCGCCACTTCGTCTTCAGATCCATCCGTCTTCCTCATGTTCCTTCGTCTTCCTTATCCTTCGGATCCTTGTCCTTCTCGTCTTTTCCGTGCGTCTCGTCTTCTCCCTCGTTCGTCCTTCCATTCTCTTCTCCATTCGTCCGTCGTCCTTCTCCATTTTCATTCCACGTCCGTCGTCCTTCCATGTCGTCTTCCTCCTCGTCTTCTTCTGTTCGTTCCGTCTCCGTTCTTCCTCCCTGTCTTCCGTCGTCCTCGTCTTCCTCGTTTCGTCTTTCGTCGTCCATCCGCTTGTCTTCCGGATTGTCGTTCGTTTCGTCCGTCTTCCTCGTCCATCGTCGTTCCTGTCGCTCGTCGTCCTTCCAGTCGTCCATGTCGTTCTCTTCCTTCGTCCCTCGTATGTCCTCGGCCACCGTCGTCCCGGTGTCGTGTTATGTCTCTCGTCATTGCTCGTTCCGTCGACCCTTCCATTCCACCACCCTCGCTCCATTCTCCTCCACTATCCTTCGTTCCTTGTCTCCTTCGTTCCATTCCTGTTGTCCATTCCTTCGTCCACCTCCTGTCCTTCCCTTCATTCCGTCCCCCCTCCATGTCCATCCTTCCATCCATGTCCCATCCTTATCCTTCCTTGTCCCTCATTCCTCCCTCCCTCCACCCTCCTCCCTTCAGTCCCTCCATTCCTCCATTCCATCCTTCTCGTCCGCTCCCTTCCGTTGTCGATTCCATCCACATTCTTTCCATCCTTCCGTTCTCCCTCCCTCCATCTTTCATTCCTTCTCTCCGTTGTCACTTCCATTCCTTCTCCCTTCATTCCTTCCATCCCTTCCACTCCCTTCATCCTTCCTCCTTCTCTTCCTCCTTCCTCCATCCTTCCTTCCTTCATCCATTCTCACTTGTCTTCCTCCATCCGTCTTTCTCCCTTCGTCTTTCCTCCCTTCCTTCTCCTTCTTCCTTCTTCCTTCCATTCCTTCGTGTCTTCCTCCCCTCCTTCCTTTCCTCCACGTCCGTCCATTCCTCCTCCCTCCTTGTCTTCCTCCCTCGTCCATTCCTTCTCTTCCCTCTTTCCTTCCTCCATCCATATCCATTCCATTTCCATTCCTTCCACTCCCTTTCCCTTCATCTTTCCACCCTTCCCCCTTCATCTTCCTCCATCCATCCTTCGTCTTCCTCCCCTTCTTTCTTCGTCTTCCTCCATCCATCTCTTCGTCTTCCACCCCTCATTCCTTCCTCCATTGTCTTCCTCCCATCCATCCTTTCCATCCCTTCGTCTTCCTTCCCTCCCACTTCCTCGTCTTCGTCCCTTCTTTCCTCCCCATTCCTTCCTGTCCATCCTTCTCCCTCCATCGTTTTCAAGTCTTCCTCCCTCCTTCCTTCCTCCCTCGTCTTTCCTCCTCTTCCTTCTTTTTCGTCTTCCTCCCCTCGTCCCTTCCTCCCTTCCTCTTCCTCCCTCCGTCTTCCTCCATCCATCCCTTCTTTCTTCCTTCCCTCGTCTTCCTTCCATTCCTTCCTCCCTTCCTCCCTCCCTTCATTCCTCCCCATTCCTTCATCCATTCATCCTTCCTCCCTTCCTTCCTTCTCCCTTCATCTTCCTCCCTCGTCCTTCTTCCTTCATCTTTCCTCCTTCCATCCTTCTCCTTCTGTCTTCCTCCCATCCGTCCATTCTCCTTTCGTCTTCCTCCTCCTCTTCCTCCATTCGTCCCATTCCTCCCTCCCATCCTTCCCTTCCTCTTCCTTCCCTCCTTTCCTCCTTGTCTTCCCTCGTCCATTCCTCCTTCGTCTTCCTCCCTCGTCCATTCTCCTTGTTTCCTCCATCGTCCCTTCTTCTTCCTCCCCTCATTCTTTCCTCCTTGTTTCCTCCCCTCCATCCTTCTCCTTCCATCCTTCCTTCTCCTTGTCTTCCTCCGTTCTTCTCCCTCGTCTTCATCCACTCGTCCATTCTCCCTCGTCTTCCTCCTTCGTCCTTCTCCATGTTTCCTCCCTTCTCCATTCGTCTTCCTTCATTCCTTCCTCCCCGTCCTTCCTCCCATTCTCCTTCTCGTCCATTCCTCCCTCCCTTCTCCCTCCTCCTTCTCCTTCCTTCCTCCCTTTCTCCATTCCTTCCTCCCGTCTTTTCCTCCCTTCTCCCCTTCTTTCACTCCCTTCGTCTTCCATTTCCTCATCCATATTTTTCGTCTTCCTCCTCGTCCTTCTTCCTTCCTTCCTCCTGTCGTCCTTCCCTTCGTCTTCCTCCCCTCCTCCTCTCCTTCGTCTTCCTCCTCCCATCTCTTCCTCCACCCCTCCTCCGTCCATCCTCCTTCGTCCTTCCTTCCACCTCGTCCATCTTCTCCCTCGTCCATTCCTCCTCGTCCTTCCCCTCGTCTTCATTCTCCATTCCATTTCCTTGTCGTTCCTTCCTCCTTCGTCTTCCTCCTCCGTTCCTTCCCTTGTTTCTCCTCCCTCCTTCCTCCCTCGTCCATTCTCCTTGTCTTCCTCCCTTCGTCTTCCACTCCTTCCCTCCTGTTCCTCCGTCGTTCTTTCCTCCTTCGTCTTCCCCTTCCATTTCGTCTTCCTCCTCGTCCATATTCCTTCGTCTTCCTGTCGTCCCTTCTCCTTCCGTCTTCCTCCATTCTTCCTTCCTTCGTCTTTCCATCCATCCGTCTTCCTCCTTCGGTCCATTCGTCTTCCTCCTTTTCCTTGTTTCCTTCGTCGTTCCTTCTTCCTGGTCCTTCCCATCTTTCCTTTTGTCGTCTTCCATTCCTCTTCCTCCTTTCCTTCGTTTCAGTCTTCGTTTCGTTGGGCTCCTTCGGGTCCTCTGTCGGATCCAGCTGTTCTGGACTCCGTTGTCGTCCTTCTTCCTTCCATTCTGTTCCATAATGTTCCTTGTTCGGTTCCGTGTCGATTCCGTGGTCCTTGTGGCTCCATTTCCTCCGTTCCATGCGATATTTGGTCCTTGTTGGTCATGGTCTTCGTTCTGGTCATCCTTTGGATCCTTGTCCTTCCTTCCTTTTCCTTCCTTTCCCCTTCGTCTTTACTCCCCTCATCCCATCGTCTTTACTCCCCTCGTCCCTTCTCCTTTAGTCTTTACTCCCCTCGTCCCTTCTCCCTTCGTCCTTGCTCTCCTCGTCCCTTCTCCTTAAGTCTTTACTCCCCTGGTCCCTTCTCCCTTACTCCCCTCGTCCCTTCTCCCCTTTTCTTTACTCCCCTTGTCCCTTCTCCCTTCGTCCTTACTCTCCTCGTCCCTTGTCCCTTCGTCCTTACTTACATCGCCCTTACTAACTTTATCTTTACTCCCGTCGCTGTTCTCGGAGTTCTTTTGTCCTTCCTTCTCCACTCCTTACTTCCATCGCCCTTACTCACCTTTTCCTACTCCCATTCATCAAAACATATTCATTTTCATAGAAACGTCTCGTTTACAAGGAACTGGGAACTGAGCTATCAATGGGAGGTAACTGATGCCTGACGAAATTGTTCAGTCCAACATCCGTCTTGTAACATGGAGTGAGTGAGTGAGTTTAGTTTTACGCCGCACTCAGCAATATTCCAGCTATATGGCGGCGGTCGGTAAATAATCGAGTCTGGACCAGACAATCCAGTGATCAACAGCATGAGCATCGCTCTGAGCAATTGGGAACCGATGACATGTGTAAACCAAGTCAGCGAGCCTGACCACCCGATCCCGTTAGTCGCCTCTTACGACAAGCATAGTTGCCTTTTGTGGCAAGCATGGGTTAGTGAAGATCAATTCTACCCCGGATCTTCACGGGTTCTGTTTGTAAATAATAAAGCATTGAATAAATATGTTGTTTTTTACTCTTTTAAGCTTTGTTCTTAAAATGTTCATTTATGCAGACTTGGTCTCGTCGCTACATACGAGATCATTATCCGCCTAACGAAGGGGCAAGAACCAGCCCGGAAAGGTCGTTATCGATATATTTGTCTTGTATTATTACACCAACTTCTAAATGCCCTTGAAGAGTCGCTGTATGGCTGCAATAATGCCGATGCGACATAAAACTCAACTCAACTCATTTCATATAGCAATGAAAACAAGGTATTCATTTTTAAAGGTGTGTCGACCAAGGACAACTAGACTGTGGTGTATGTCATAGATTAGAATAACTCAAAATAGGTGACAATTATATTACCCCCCTTAATTAATACCAATGAAAGACCAGTAACCAAACTGAGACCACCTTACTGGGGATCATGAGGACTTACAGAGCCCTTCTTCCTGTGTCACTTCCCAGCAGCATTTAGACCGACCCTCACGTTGATCAATGATGAACTTACTAGAGACTGTCATGGGACCAAACCTTAACACAGTTGTAGCTCCCAGAATGGAACCTCCATCAATAACCACAGATCATAATATTTTACTTACTTTACAACACATGCAAGCTATTCAAAATTTATCTAGTGGTTCTCTTTCTTTGAAGAAGCAAACATTCATAGGGACTTTGATTAAACATTCCCCCTTTTAAAATCAACAACAAAATGGACCCATCTATTGATTCATTTAGAACCCTTGAAAATTTGACATTAGGAACCGATGACATGTGTCAACCAATTCAGCGAGCCTGACCACCCGATCCCGTTAGTCGCCTCTTATGACAAGCATAGTCGCCTTTTACAGCAAGCATGGGTTGCTGAAGACCTATTCTACCCCGGATCTTCACCGGTCTGTAACATGGAAGCGTACGCGATATATATGTATATGGGGATATTTATCATGCGTGCTCTTGTCTATCTCTGTATATGCATATCTATACGAGTATAATGTATGTATGTGCGTGTGTGTATGTATGATTGTGCGTATGTATGTATGTGTATGTATGATTGTGTGTATGTATGTGTGTAAATTTGTCTGTATGTCTGTCTGTCTGTCTGTTTGTCTGTCTGTGGCTAAGATACCAAAACATGTTATGATCAAACTTCCAGCCCAAACGGTGTCCGTCATAACTTGATGAAACAGTTGGTTTATCAATTTTAGTTTCACTTGATGATTAGGTTAATGTTTCTAACATTGGTTTTCAGACATGTCGAGGAATCAGAGGGAGACAGAATCTGAACGTCCTGACAGGGAAAGTGAGACAGATGGTGATGAAACTTTCACAAAGAACAACCTGGCATCATCAGAAGGAGCACAACCTGGTAATGACAATGATGTTGATGTCGTTCCCCAAGGAACACAAGGTGAGAGGACATTCTCCATGGACATGGTAGCATCATCAGAAGTGGTTGAGCGTCAGGCCAGTGCGGGGAGTGGTTCCATGGCTGTTTCTGAGAGACGAGAAAGGCAAGCGGTGTCTACTAAAATCACTGCAGGCAAGTGGAATGTTTATCACAAACAAAATCGAGACAACTGAGATATCGAGTTATCAGAGTCCAACACTCCGTTTTGTTCACCATATTTAATAAACACCTATATCAAATGCATGTGTTTACGAAACACATTTTATTATTTAAAACGTGATAGGGAGTAGGCACCGTTGGTTCCTCTTATTGTTGTCTCCTTCCCAAAATGACATAATTATCTTACAAGGGTTATACACTTTCAATAAGGCAACGACAAAGCTAGGGAAAGTTTCATTGCAATCTACTCACATGCTGTTTCTACTCTTATTCCAGGGTCTGACTTCAAAGGCATCATAGTACAGGACTCTTCTGATGTCAGCTTATCTGTTGGAGGTCAGAATGATGGAATAATGAAGTCAGGTAATAATGGTGTTTTATTGGAGAAACATTTAATTGTTATGGAGCCAAACTGAGGCATCTAGCAGATGTCTGACTCAAAGGGCTGACTTAAGGATTTAAACCTATCTGTTCTCGAAATGTAACATTTCTTTTACAACAGCATAGCACATGGTGATATACCTAAACAGAAAAATAATAGGCAGATGATAACGAGGGAGGTTTTATGCAGAAAACAATGTTGTATATGAATCTAGTTTGTAGTGTGGTGGTAGGATAACTGAGTTATGCAACTCTCATCTTGGTTGACGGTCAGATTAAAATGGCGTCTGTTAGTTTCGCGATGCTCTTGTTTTCCTGTAAAAGGACAGGGCAACTCAGGTAGTTGACTTGATCAGTTGGCAGGTGGGCTGTTGCTGCGAGATGTCAGGCATACATTATTGATATGATAGATGCCCTAGGTCTTCTTGGTGTATGCTTCCCAGAAGATACATCGGATTTTATTATCTATCAGATTTAGTTATTGGCAAAAGAAGATCTTGCTAGAAAAAAATACATGAAGCAGGTTGTATAGTTTAAAAATGATGGCTATTGTTCTTGTAGATATGCTGCAAATGAACCTGAAGCGAGTCAAAGATGTCTGTGTGAAAACTGCTAACTATAGGACAGTGAAGGGGCGCTTGGAGAAGTATGGTCATGTAACAATAAGTGGTGCTTCTGGTGAAGGAAAAACGTCCATTGCCTTGATGATAGGAGCAGATCTAAGGAACCAGGGGTATGAACTTGTGTTTGTTGATGATATGGATAAATTTGAGCTGAAGAATTGTGAACTGCGTGGAAAGAAAGTTTGTCTGATACTGGATGATATATTTGGAACAGTCGGCCTATCAACTGACGTTCCCCATCTTAGGTCCATTCTACAAAATCTCAAACATTATTTAGAAGATGTCAAATCTAGTAAGGAACTGAAAACAGCGATTCTTGTTGTCTTCACCACCAAATCGTACAACCTGGAATGTGGAGTCGCAAAGTTGGATGGCCAAGAATGCTATTTTTTCACAGGACCATCGCTTCTTGATTTGACAAAAATGACATCGTGTCATTACAGTCCCGAGGAAAGAAGGAAGATACTCCAGAAACAACTAAAACACCATAACATCGACCTGAACCTCGATATTGGTAGGCTTTGTGACAAAAGAGAATATTTGTTTGGCTTTCCCCTGATATGTTCTCTGTTTTGTGAATTCCTGAGTTTTCAAAAAGAACCTGCACAATTTTTCCAAAAACCACTACTTTATCTACGGCGAGAAATTGACATGATAATGGAACGTGGAAATGACCAGTCCGCTGCTCTCATCCTGATGCTGTTGTGTGAAGATCATCTGAACTTGAGCCAGGTAGAAATGGAATCTAAAAATCATGTTTTAGAAGCTAATCTGCAGGCTGTAAAAAGTGTGGTGTCAGTAACGTCACGGACTGCAGTTGCCAAAGCCATCAGGTGTTACAGGGGAACATTTTTCACTGATGGAGATATCCTTGGATTTTCACATCCCACAATCTACGACGCCTGTGCGTGTGCCCTATTCAAAATAAATTCATCCTTCGTTCTGAACCACTGCAGTATCAGATTCCTTTATGAGCGTGTACAAACCCAGCCAGTCCAGTCCTCTGCAATAGATAATCACCTCCACATCATCTACGTCTCAGATGCTTACTATGACAAAATTGCCTCCAGACTGGCGGATGCTGTTGCCAAAGGCAACTACAGTATGTCTATTACACATCCTATTTTGAAAAACAAGCAAATAGTGGACAAAGTGTTCCAGATGCTCAAACTGAGGAAATCAAATACATTAAAGCGGTTGCTGCATACGAAGGACACAAAAAGGCTTGCCATGTTACATGCAAAGGAAGAAGAGAAGCACTTACTGTACTGGGCAGTTCATGCACATAGTAAGTACTTGATTGAGAAAATCCTCGATGTTGGATACCATTTTTCAGACGAAGAGATCATGGAAGCCTTCAAGGCCTGTGCTTCCTGTGGGAACGAAGCAGTGTTGTTGTTGTTATCTTCCAAATATAAGTCACTGCTTCATCAAAGTGTGCTCAATGAAGCTCTAGTGACTGCCACAGACAATAATTACAAAGACATTGCATTGGCCTTACTTAACGCAGGAGCTGATATCTATGAATCAAAAAATGATGTGGGTGAAAATGTCTTTCAAATTGCTAGGATGAAGGAGTTCCGTCTACTTGGAAGAGAATTTTTGGGATTTATTACCGAAGGATTAAACATCAAACATCTGACTGGAGACTTCGACTTTCTGAGAGCAGCTTATTCAGCCTTGTGTTACAGCTGTAGTGTAGGGGATGTAAGACTTTCACAATTCTTCCTTCCAGTCACTGAGATTAATGCAAGATATCCTAAGGGCAAAACCCTCCCATTCTTTCACATTAATTGTCGGGGACACGTTGGACTAACGCCAGTGATGGAAGCAGCTTTGCATGGGAAGAAGGATGTTTTCGACCTGCTCGTGTCAAAGGGAGCTGATCTTACACTAAGAGATGACAAAAATAACACCCTCCTTCATGTGGCAAGTCAAGGTGGAAATAGCCCCATTGTAGAAGATCTGCTTCCACTATTTGACATCAATTGTCGGGCACAGTCGGATGTTATACCAGTGATGATAGCAGCTATCTTTGGCAAGAGAGATGTTTTCGAACTCCTCAAGACAAAGGGAGCTGATCTTACATTAAGAGATTACTACAATAACACCCTCCTTCATCTAGCATGTGTAGGTGGAAATAGTGGCATTGTAGAAGATCTGCTTCCACTGTTTGACATCAATTGTCGGGGAGAAGAGGGTTGGACACCTTTGATGGCAGCAGCTTGGTATGGGAAGAAGGATGCTTTCGACCTGCTCGTGTCAAATGGAGCTGATCTCAAAGTAAGAGATGATAACAATAACACCGTCCTTCATGTGGCATGTCGAAGTGGAAATAGTGGCATTGTAGAAGATCTGCTTCCACTGTTTGACATCAATTGTCGGACAAAGTCGGATGTTATACCAGTGATGATAGCAGCTATCTTTGGCAAGAGAGATGTTTTCGATCTCCTCAAGAAAACGGGAGCTGATCTTACGCTAAGATATCACAGCAATGACACCCTCCTGCATCTAGCATGTGTAGGTGGAAATAGTGGCATTGTAGAAGATATGCTTCCACTGTTTGACATCAATTGTCGGGGAGAAGAGGGTTGGACACCTTTGATGTCAGCAGCTTGGTATGGGAAGAAGGATGTTTTCGACCTGCTCGTGTCAAATGGAGCTGATCTCACACTAAAAGATGATAACAATAACAGCCTCATTCATCTAGCATGTGTAGGTGGAAATAGTGGCATTGTAGAAGATCTGCTTCCACTGTTTGACATCAATTGTCGGGGAGAAGAGGGTTGGACACCTTTGATGGAAGCAGTTTTGCATGAGAAGAAGGATGTTGTCGACCTGCTCGTGTCAAAGGGAGCTGATCTCACACTAAGAGATGATACCAATGACACCCTCCTTCATCTAGCATGTGTAGGTGGAAATAGTGGCATTGTAGAAGATCTGCTTCCACTGTTTGACATCAATTGTCGGGGAGAAGAGGGTTGGACACCTTTGATGGCAGCAGTTTTGTGCGGGAAAAAGGATCTTTTCGCCCTGCTCGTGTCAAAGGGAGCTGATCTCACACTAAAAGATGACTACAGTAGAAATGCTCTTCATGCGGCATGTCAGGGTGGAAATAGTGGCATTGTAGAAGATCTGATTCCACTGTTTGACATCAATTGTCGGGAAGAAGAGGGTTTGACACCTTTGATGGGAGCAGCTGGGTTTGGGAAGAAGGATGTTGTCGACCTGCTCGTGTCAAAGGGAGCTGATCTTACACTAAGAGATGACAAAAATAACACCCTCCTTCATCTAGCATGTCAGGGTGGAAAAAGTGGCATTGTAGACGATCTGCTTCCACTGTTTGACATCAATTGTCGGGGACAAGAGGGTTGGACACCTTTGATGGCAGCAGCTTGGTATGGGAAGAAGGATGTTTTCGACCTGCTCGTGTCAAAGGCAGCTGATCTTACACTAAAAGATGAGAAGAGTAGAAATGCCCTTCATCTGGCATGTCAGGGTGGAAATAGTGGCATTGTAGAAGATCTGCTTCCACTGTTTGACATCAATTGTCGGGGACAAGAGGGTTGGACACCTTTGATGGCAGCAGCTCGGTATGGGAAGAAGGATCTTTTCGCCCTGCTCGTGTCAAAAGGAGCTGATCTCACACAAAGAGATGATAAAAATAACACCCTTCTTCATCTAGCATGTGCAGGTGGAAATAGTAACATTGTAGAACATCTGCTTCCACTGTTTGACATCAATTGTCGGGGATATGTGGGTTGCACACCTTTGATGGTAGCAGCTTTTCATGGGAAGAAGGATGTTGTCGACCTGCTCGTGTCAAAGGGAGCTGATCTCACACTAAAAGATGAGAAGAGTAGAAATGCCCTTCATGTGGCATCTCAGGTTGGAAATAGTGGCATTGTAGAACATCTGCTTCCACTGTTTGACATCAATTGTCGGGGATATGTGGGTTGGACACCTTTGATGGAAGCAGCTTGGTATGGGAAGAAGGATGTTTTCGCCCTGCTCGTGTCAAAAGGAGCTGATCTCACACAAAGAGATGATAAAAATAACACCCTCCTTCATCTAGCATGTGTAGGTGGAAATAGTAGCACTGTAGAAGATCTGCTTCCACTGTTTGACATCAATTGTCGGGGAGAAGAGGGTTGGACACCTTTGATGGAGGCAGCTTGGTATGAGGAGAAGGATGTTTTCGACCTGCTCGTGTCAAATGGAGCTGATCTCACACTAAAAGATGATAACAATAACAGCCTCATTCATCTAGCATGTCAGGGTGGAAATAGTGGCATTGTAGAAGATCTGCTTCCACTGTTTGACATCAATTGTCGGGGAGAAGAGGGTTGGACACCTTTGATGGAAGCAGTTTTGCATGAGAAGAAGGATGTTGTCGACCTGCTCGTGTCAAAGGGAGCTGATCTCACACTAAGAGATGATACCAATGACACCCTCCTTCATCTAGCATGTGTAGGTGGAAATAGTGGCATTGTAGAAGATCTGCTTCCACTGTTTGACATCAATTGTCGGGGAGAAGAGGGTTGGACACCTTTGATGGCAGCAGTTTTGTGCGGGAAAAAGGATCTTTTCGCCCTGCTCGTGTCAAAGGGAGCTGATCTCACACTAAAAGATGACTACAGTAGAAATGCTCTTCATGCGGCATGTCAGGGTGGAAATAGTGGCATTGTAGAAGATCTGATTCCACTGTTTGACATCAATTGTCGGGAAGAAGAGGGTTTGACACCTTTGATGGGAGCAGCTGGGTTTGGGAAGAAGGATGTTGTCGACCTGCTCGTGTCAAAGGGAGCTGATCTTACACTAAGAGATGACAAAAATAACACCCTCCTTCATCTAGCATGTCAGGGTGGAAATAGTGGCATTGTAGACGATCTGCTTCCACTGTTTGACATCAATTGTCGGGGACAAGAGGGTTGGACACCTTTGATGGCAGCAGCTTGGTATGGGAAGAAGGATGTTTTCGACCTGCTCGTGTCAAAGGCAGTTGATCTTACACTAAAAGATGAGAAGAGTAGAAATGCCCTTCATCTGGCATGTCAGGGTGGAAATAGTGGCATTGTAGAACATCTGCTTCCACTGTTTGACATCAATTGTCGGGGATATGTGGGTTGGACACCTTTGATGGAAGCAGCTTGGTATGGGAAGAAGGATGTTTTCGCCCTGCTCGTGTCAAAAGGAGCTGATCTCACACAAAGAGATGATAAAAATAACACCCTCTTTCATCTAGCATGTGTAGGTGGAAATAGTAGCACTGTAGAAGATCTGCTTCCACTGTTTGACATCAATTGTCGGGGAGAAGAGGGTTGGACACCTTTGATGGAGGCAGCTTGGTATGAGGAGAAGGATGTTTTCGACCTGCTCGTATCAAAGGGAGCTGATCTTACACTAAAAGATGAGAAGAGTAGAAATGCCCTTCATGTGGCATGTGTAGGTGGAAATAGTGGCATTGTAGAAGATATGCTTCCACTGTTTGACATCAATTGTCGGGGAGAAGAGGGTTGGACTCCTTTGATGGCAGCAGCTTTCTGTGGGAAGAACGATGTTGTCGACCTGCTCGTGTCAAAGGGAGCTGATCTCACACTAAAAGATGATAACTATAACACCCTCCTTCATGTGGCATGTGGAGGTGGAAATAGTGGCATTGTAGAAGATCTGCTTCCACTGTTTGACATTAATTGTCGGGGTGAAGTCGGTTCGACACCTTTGATGGCAGCAGCTTTGCATGGGAAGAAGGATGCTATCGACCTGCTCGTGTCAAAAGGAGCTGATCTCACACAAAGAGATGATAGAAATAACACCCTCCTTCATCTAGCATGTGTAGGTGGAAATAGTGGCATTGTAGAAGATCTACTTCCACTGTTTGACATCAATTGTCGAGGAAAAGAGGGTTGCACACCTTTGATGGCAGCAGCTTTGTGTGGGAAGAAGGATGTTGTCGACCTGCTCGTGTCAAAGGGAGCCAATCTGACACTAAAAGATGACAACAGTGAAAATGCCCTTCATCAGGCATGTCGAGGTGGAAATAGTAACATTGTAGAAGATCTGCTTCCACTGTTTGACATCAATTGTCTTGGATATGTGGGTTGGTCACCTTTGATGTCAGCAGCTTGGTATGGGAAGAAGGATGTTTTCGACCTGCTCGTGTCAAAGGCAGCTGATCTTACACTAAAAGATGAGAAGAGTAGAAATGCCCTTCATCTGGCATGTCAGGGTGGAAATAGTGGCATTGTAGAACATCTGCTTCCACTGTTTGACATCAATTGTCGGGGATATGTGGGTTGGACACCTTTGATGGAAGCAGCTTGGTATGGGAAGAAGGATGTTTTCGCCCTGCTCGTGTCAAAAGGAGCTGATCTCACACAAAGAGATGATAAAAATAACACCCTCTTTCATCTAGCATGTGTAGGTGGAAATAGTAGCACTGTAGAAGATCTGCTTCCACTGTTTGACATCAATTGTCGGGGAGAAGAGGGTTGGACACCTTTGATGGAGGCAGCTTGGTATGAGGAGAAGGATGTTTTCGACCTGCTCGTATCAAAGGGAGCTGATCTTACACTAAAAGATGAGAAGAGTAGAAATGCCCTTCATGTGGCATGTCAGGGTGGAAATAGTGGCATTGTAGAAGATCTGATTCCACTGTTTGACATCAATTGTCGGGAAGAAGAGGGTTTGACACCTTTGATGGGAGCAGCTGGGTTTGGGAAGAAGGATGTTGTCGACCTGCTCGTGTCAAAGGGAGCTGATCTTACACTAAGAGATGACAAAAATAACACCCTCCTTCATCTAGCATGTCAGGGTGGAAATAGTGGCATTGTAGACGATCTGCTTCCACTGTTTGACATCAATTGTCGGGGACAAGAGGGTTGGACACCTTTGATGGCAGCAGCTTGGTATGGGAAGAAGGATGTTTTCGACCTGCTCGTGTCAAAGGCAGCTGATCTTACACTAAAAGATGAGAAGAGTAGAAATGCCCTTCATCTGGCATGTCAGGGTGGAAATAGTGGCATTGTAGAAGATCTGCTTCCACTGTTTGACATCAATTGTCGGGGACAAGAGGGTTGGACACCTTTGATGGCAGCAGCTCGGTATGGGAAGAAGGATCTTTTCGCCCTGCTCGTGTCAAAAGGAGCTGATCTCACACAAAGAGATGATAAAAATAACACCCTTCTTCATCTAGCATGTGCAGGTGGAAATAGTAACATTGTAGAACATCTGCTTCCACTGCTTGACATCAATTGTCGGGGATATGTGGGTTGCACACCTTTGATGGTAGCAGCTTTTCATGGGAAGAAGGATGTTGTCGACCTGCTCGTGTCAAAGGGAGCTGATCTCACACTAAAAGATGACAACAGTAGAAATGCCCTTCATGTGGCATCTCAGGTTGGAAATAGTGGCATTGTAGAACATCTGCTTCCACTGTTTGACATCAATTGTCGGGGATATGTGGGTTGGACACCTTTGATGGAAGCAGCTTGGTATGGGAAGAAGGATGTTTTCGCCCTGCTCGTGTCAAAAGGAGCTGATCTCACACAAAGAGATGATAAAAATAACACCCTCTTTCATCTAGCATGTGTAGGTGGAAATAGTAGCACTGTAGAAGATCTGCTTCCACTGTTTGACATCAATTGTCGGGGAGAAGAGGGTTGGACACCTTTGATGGAGGCAGCTTGGTATGAGGAGAAGGATGTTTTCGACCTGCTCGTGTCAAAGGGAGCTGATCTTACACTAAAAGATGAGAAGAGTAGAAATGCCCTTCATGTGGCATGTGTAGGTGGAAATAGTGGCATTGTAGAAGATATGCTTCCACTGTTTGACATCAATTGTCGGGGAGAAGAGGGTTGGACTCCTTTGATGGCAGCAGCTTTCTGTGGGAAGAACGATGTTGTCGACCTGCTCGTGTCAAAGGGAGCTGATCTCACACTAAAAGATGATAACTATAACACCCTCCTTCATGTGGCATGTGGAGGTGGAAATAGTGGCATTGTAGAAGATCTGCTTCCACTGTTTGACATTAATTGTCGGGGTGAAGTCGGTTCGACACCTTTGATGGCAGCAGCTTTGCATGGGAAGAAGGATGCTATCGACCTGCTCGTGTCAAAAGGAGCTGATCTCACACAAAGAGATGATAGAAATAACACCCTCCTTCATCTAGCATGTGTAGGTGGAAATAGTGGCATTGTAGAAGATCTACTTCCACTGTTTGACATCAATTGTCGAGGAAAAGAGGGTTGCACACCTTTGATGGCAGCAGCTTTGTGTGGGAAGAAGGATGTTGTCGACCTGCTCGTGTCAAAGGGAGCCAATCTGACACTAAAAGATGACAACAGTGAAAATGCCCTTCATCAGGCATGTCGAGGTGGAAATAGTAACATTGTAGAAGATCTGCTTCCACTGTTTGACATCAATTGTCTTGGATATGTGGGTTGGTCACCTTTGATGGCAGCAGCTCGGTATGGGAAGAAGGATGTTGTCGACCTGCTCGTGTCAAAAGGAGCTGATATCACACTAAAAGATGATAACAATAACACCCTCCTTCATCTAGCATGTGTAGGTGGAAATAGTGGCATTGTAGAAGATCTGCTTCCACTGTTTGACATCAATTGTCGAGGAAAAGATTGATGGACACCTTTGATGGCAGCAGCTTGGTATGGGAAGAAGGATGTTGTCGACCTGCTCGTGTCAAAGGGAGCCAATCTGACACTAAAAGATGACAACAGTAGAAATGCCCTTCATCTAGCATGTGTAGGTGGAAATAGTGGCATTGTAGAAGATCTACTTCCACTGTTTGACATCAATTGTCGGGGACAAGAGGGTTGGACACCTTTGATGGCAGCAGCTTGGTATGAGAATAGGGATGTCTTCGACCTGCTCGTGTCAAAGGGAGCTGATCTCACACTAAAAGATGACAACAGTAGAAATGCCCTTCATCTGGCATGTCAGGGTGGAAATAGTGGCATTGTAGAAGATCTGCTTCCACTGTTTGACATCAATTGTCGGGGAGAAGAGGGTTGGACACCTTTGATGGAGGCAGCTTGGTATGAGAAGAAGGATGTTTTCGACCTGCTCGTGTCAAATGGAGCTGATCTCACACTAAAAGATGTCAACAGTAGAAATGCCCTTCATCTGGCATGTCAGGGTGGAAATAGTGGCATTGTAGAAGATCTGCTTCCACTGTTTGACATCAATTGTCGGGGAGAAGAGGGTTGGACACCTTTGATGGCAGCAGCTTGGTATGAGAAGAAGGATGTTTTCGACCTGCTCGTGTCAAAGGGAGCTTATCTCACACTAAAAGATGACAACAGTGAAAATGCCCTTCATCTGGCATGTCAGGGTGGAAATAGTGGCATTGTAGAAGATCTGCTTCCACTGTTTGACATCAATTGTCGGGGATATGTGGGTTGGACACCTTTGATGGCAGCAGCTTTGTGTGGGAAGAAGGATGTTTTCGACCTGTTCGTGTCAAAGGGAGCTGATCTCACACTAAAAGATGATAACAATAACACCCTCCTTCATCTAGCATGTGTAGGTGGAAATAGTGGCATTGTAGAAGATCTGCTTCCACTGTTTGACATCAATTGTCGGGGACAAGAGGGTTGGACTCCTTTGATGGCGGCAGCTCGGTATGGGAAGAAGGATGCTTTCGACCTGCTCGTGTCAAAGGGAGCTGATCTCACACTAAAAGATGACAACAGTAGGAATGCCCTTCATCTGACATGTCAGGGTGGAAATAGTGGCATTGTAGAAGATCTGCTTCCACTGTTTGACATCAATTGTCGGGGACAAGAGGGTTGGACTCCTTTGATGGCGGCAGCTCGGTATGGGAAGAAGGATGCTTTCGACCTGCTCGTGTCAAAGGGAGCTGATCTCACACTAAAAGATGACAACAGTAGAAATGCCCTTCATCTGGGATGTCAGGGTGGAAATAGTGGCATTGTAGAAGATCTGCTTCCACTGTTTGACATCAATTGTCGGGGACAAGAGGGTTGGACACCTTTGATGGAAGCAGCTTTGTATGGGAAGAAGGATGCTTTCGACCTGCTCGTGTCAAAAGGAGCTTATCTCACACAAAGAGATGATAACAATAACACCCTCCTTCATCTAGCATGTGCAAATGGGAATAGTAGCATTGTAGAACATCTGCTTCCACTGTTTGACAATAATTGTCTGGGATATGTGGGTTTGACACCTTTGATGGCAGCAGCTTTGCATGGGAGGAAGGATGTTGTCGACCTGCTCATGTCAAAGGAAGCTGATCTCACACTAAAAGATGATAACAATAACACCCTCCTTCATCTAGCATGTGTAGGTGGAAATAGTGACATTGTAGAAGATCTGCTTCCACTGTTTGACACAATTGTCGGGGACAAGAGGGTTGGACTCCTTTGATGTCAGCAGCTCGGTATGGGAAGAAGGATGCTTTCGACCTGCTCGTGTCAAAGGGAGCTGATCTCACACTAAAAGATGATAACAATAACACCCTCCTTCATCTAGCATGTGAAGGTGGAAATAGTGACATTGTAGAAGATCTGCTTCCACTGTTTGACATCAATTGTCGGGGAAAAGAGGGTTGGACTCCTTTGATGGCAGCAGCTCGATATGGGAAGAAGGATGCTTTCGACCTGCTCGTGTCAAAGGGAGCTGATCTCACACTAAAAGATGAGAACAGTAGAAATGCCCTTCATCTGACATCTCAGGGTGGAAATAGTGGCATTGTAGAAGATCTGCTTCCACTGTTTGACATCAATTGTCGGGGAAAAGAGGGTTGGACTCCTTTGATGGCAGCAGCTCGATATGGGAAGAAGGATGCTTTCGACCTGCTCGTGTCAAAGGGAGCTGATCTCTAACTAAAAAAGATGAGAACAGTAGAAATGCCCTTCATCTAGCATGTCAGGGTGGAAATAGTGGCATTGTAGAACATCTGCTTCCACTGTTTGACATCAATTGTCGGGGAGAAGAGGGTTGGACACCTTTGATGGCAGCAGCTTTGTATGGGAAGAAGGATGTTTTCGACCTGCTCGTGTCAAATGGAGCTGATCTCACACTAAAAGATGTCAACAGTAGAAATGCCCTTCATCTAGCATGTCAGGGTGGAAATAGTGTCATTGTAGAAGATCTGATTCCACTGTTTGACATGAATTGTCGGGAAAAAGAGGGTTTGACACCTTTGATGGCAGTAGCTTGGTGTGGGAAGAAGGATGTTGTCGACCTGCTCGTGTGAAAGGGAGCTGATCTCACACTAAGAGATGACTGCAGTAGAAATGCCCTTCATCTGGCATGTCAGGGTGGAAATAGTGGCATTGTAGAATCCGCTTCCACTGTTTGACATCAATTGTCGGGCACAGTCGGATGTTATACCAGTGATGATAGCAGCTCTTCTTTGGCTAGAGATATTTTTCGATCTCCTCAAGACAAAGGGAGCTGATCTTACACTAAGAGATGACTACAATGACACCCTCCTTCATCTAGCATGTGCAGGTTGAAATAGTGGAATTGTAGAAGATCTGCTTCCACTGTTTGACATCAATTGTCGGGGAGAAGTGGGTTGGACACCTTTGATGGCAGCATCTTGGGATGGGAAGAAGGATGTTTTCGACCTGCTCGTGTCAAAGGGAGCTGATCTCTAACTAAAAGATGACTGCAGTAGAAATGCCCTTCATCTGGCATGTCAGGGTGGAAACAGTGTCATTGTAGAAGATCTGATTCCACTGTTTGACATGAATTGTCGGGAAAAAGAGGGTTTGACACCTTTGATGGCAGCAGCTCGATATGGGAAGAAGGATGCATTCGACCTGCTCGTGTCAAAGGGAGCTGATCTCACACTAAAAGCTGAGAACAGTAGAAATGCCCTTCATCTAGCATGTCAGGGTGGAAATAGTGGCATTGTAGAACATCTGCTTCCACTGTTTGACATCAATTGTCGGGGAGAAGAGGGTTGGACACCTTTGATGGCAGCAGCTTTGTATGGGAAGAAGGATGTTTTCGACCTGCTCGTGTCAAATGGAACTGATCTCACACTAAAAGATGTCAACAGTAGAAATGCCCTTCATCTGGCATGTCAGGGTGGAAATAGTGGCATTGTAGAAGATCTACTTCCACTGTTTGACATCAGTTGTCGGGGAAAAGAGGGTTGCACACCTTTGATGGTAGCAGCTCGGTATGGGAAGAAGGATGTATTCGACCTGCTCGTGTCAAAGGGAGCTGATCTCACACTAAAAGATGACAACAGTAGAAATGCCCTTCATCTGGCATGTCAGGGTGGAAATAGTGGCATTGTAGAAGATCTGCTTCCACTGTTTGACATCAATTGTCGGGGAGAAGAGGGTTTGACACCTTTGATGGCAGCAGCTTTGTATGAGAAGAAGGATGTTTTCGACCTGCTCGTGTCAAATGGAGCTGATCTCACACTAAAAGATGACAACAGTAGAAATGCCCTTCATCTGGCATGTCAGGGTGGAAATAGTGGCATTGTAGAAGATCTGCTTCCACTGTTTGACATCAATTGTCGGGGAGAAGAGGGTTGGACACCTTTGATGAATGCAACTTGGTATGAGAAGAAGGATGTTCTCGACCTGCTCGTGTCAAAGGGAGCTGATATCACACAATGAGATGATAACAATACCACCCTCTTTCATCTAGCATGTGCAGGTGGAAATAGTAGCATTGTAGAAGATCTGCTTCCACTGTTTGACATTAATTGTCTGGGATATGTGGGTTTGACACCTTTGATGGCAGCAGCTTGGTATGAGGAGAAGGATGTTTTCGACCTGCTCGTGTCAAATGGAGCTGATCTTACACTAAGAGATGACAAAAATAACACCTTCCTTCATCTGGCATGTCAGGGTGGAAATAGTGGCATTGTAGAAGATCTGCTTCCACTGTTTGACATCAATTGTCGGGGAGAAGTGGGTTGGACACCTTTGATGGCAGCATCTTGGGATGGGAAGAAGGATGTTTTCGACCTGCTCGTGTCAAAGGGAGCTGATCTCTAACTAAAAGATGACTGCAGTAGAAATGCCCTTCATCTGGCATGTCAGGGTGGAAATAGTGTCATTGTAGAAGATCTGATTCCACTGTTTGACATGAATTGTCGGGAAAAAGAGGGTTTGACACCTTTGATGGCAGTAGCTTGGTGTGGGAAGAAGGATGTTGTCGACCTGCTCGTGTCAAAGGGAGCTGATCTCACACTAAGAGATGACTGCAGTAGAAATGCCCTTCATCTGGCATGTCAGGGTGGAAATAGTGGCATTGTAGAATCCGCTTCCACTGTTTGACATCAATTGTCGGGCACAGTCGGATGTTATACCAGTGATGATAGCAGCTCTTCTTTGGCAAGAGAGATGTTTTCGATCTCCTCAAGACAAAGGGAGCTGATCTTACACTAAGAGATGACTACAATGACACCCTCCTTCATCTAGCATGTGCAGGTTGAAATAGTGGAATTGTAGAAGATCTGCTTCCACTGTTTGACATCAATTGTCGGGGAGAAGAGGGCTGGACACCTTTGATGGCAGCAGCTTTGCATGGGAAGAAGGATGCTCTTGTCAAAGGGAGCTGATCTAACACTAAGAGATGACAACAATGACACCGTCTTTCATGTGGCATGTCAGAGTGGAATAGTCCCATTGTAGAAGATCTGCTTCCATTCTTTGATATCAATTGTCGGGGACAAGACGGCTTTACACTATTAATGAATGCAGCTTTCTGTTGAAAACACAATATTTGGGAACTCCTTCTGAAACGTGGAGGTAACCCTGTTTGTGTAGGTGATGATAATCACACAACACTACACACTGCATGTAGAGGTGGAAACATGTTGATTATTGAAGATGTCATAGGCGATTTTGACATTGACACAAGAGGTTTTCACGGTCGGACACCGCTCCTGGAGAGAGCTAGAGGAGGCCACATTCCTGTAGTTGACTTCCTTGTGGCCCGAGACGCTGCCGTCAAAATATTGGACGATATTGGGAATAGCCTGCTACACGTTGCTTGTGTAGGTGGGCACCTTGGTATGGTGAAACATGTGTGTCCATGGTTTAATATTGATGACAGAGACACACTAGGGTGGGCTCCTGCAATGGTAGCATCTATATTTGGAAAGTCTGCAGTGTTTGACTACCTGAGACTACAAGGTGCAGATCTGACACTGGTTGATGAGACTGGAGGTGATTTGTTCACTCTTGTCCTTCAGGGACGATGTAGACAAATCATAGAACGATTATCACCTGATGGACAATATGTGAAGAAGCAGAATCCCTGGACTACACTGATGAGATCGGTAGTGACTGGATCTTTTGAAAAGTTGAAAGTTTGCCATGACAACAGTCCTGAGCTTGTTCAGACAGACCAGTTTGGAGACAGTCTGCTTCATCTGGCTTGTCGTGGAGGCAACAAACAATGTATGGGGTATTTGCTCCCGTCCTATGACATCAATGTCCGAGGTCGGTATAACTTGACACCGGTGATGATGGCGGCTGAGTGTGGACATGAGGATGTCTTCCAGGTACTGGTGGACCACAAGGCAGATCTTGCCTTGCTCTCAGACACAAGAGAATGCATCCTTACTCTCGCTCAGAGAGGGCAAAGCAATGACATTGTGGAATGCTTGAGGAATGTGTCAGGAAATTGTTGAATGAGAAAGATCTGTAAAATGGGTGGGCAGCCGATGGAGTTTCCTAATAACTTAAGAATGTCAAGGATCATTCTGGACATCATAGATTCTTAAATATACTGATACACTGTGAAGATGCACAATTAGTATGAACAAGAAGTCATGAATTTTGTACACAGTAGATAACACTTCAAATGAAACCTGTAATACGACATTGTTGATTTTGATGATCTTATGCCTAAATAAGCTGAACAATCTGATGTTTGTGAGGTCAAATTTGTCAAATAAATACAAAGAATCTTGTATGTATTTTCAAAGCATCTCAGTATGCAAGTTGAACATGCCCATTGTCTTAAGTGAATGTTTGGAAGATAATACCTTCTTGTACTGTATTTTCAAATATTTGACACTTGACTTATCGGTGTTCCACAGCTATTGGTACCAATTGTAATCAGATGTTGTAGATATGTAAATAAATGTCTCTATCGTTTTGAGACTGTACATACTGCTGCAGTACATAGGTGTTGCTTTTACTCCTTGCCATTTAAATATGCCTTGACTAGTTTGATGGTTGCAAATGGGGGAAATTGATAATGATGTACATTCAGTAATTACTAGATGTTTATTTTATGTCAAGACATGCTTCCTTCGACAACTCTGGGTACCAACTATTGCCGTGTAATCAGATGTTGTAGATATGTAAATATTCGTCTTTGTAATTGTTTGACACAGTTTGTTCATTCCTGGAGAATTTCTGATTTCAGACATTTCAGATGTTCACCAAATATTTGACATCATGCATTGACGATATTTGCTGTTTGCAAATGGTTTATAACGAAAACAATTCACATTCTGTTATTGCTGGAGTTGTTTCACGCCAACGAATGCTTTGTTTGGCGGCTGTGGGTAGCAGCTCTTGGCCTATAATCAGATGCTGTAGATATGTCAATAGATGTCTATGTAATTGTTTGACAGAGTTTGTTCACTCCTGGAGAAATACGATGAACTGAGGGACTCGTATTTCAGCTGTTCACTAAATATTTGACGTAATGCATAGACTATACTTTCTGGTTTTAAATCGGAAATATTGTAAATAATTCACATTGTATTTATTACATGCTCATTTTAAGACCTGCGTCTTTTCTTGTTGTCAGATGTTGGTCGTCCTGTAGTATGGTGATCTACCTTCAGTTGTTGGCAATCTTTGGCCTGTTTTTATATAGTATTGTCATGTTTAGTTAAAATATTTTGGAAGTAACTACTAGTTGTATATTTATATGTTATAATCTAGTTGTTTTACTGTCCTTCATTGACACAATTTTATAATTTACATTCAATTGTTAATATATTTTAACTTGATTTAGTCACGATATGGCTGAAATATTGCCGATGTGACTTAAAATCTTAACTCACTCACTCACTCACTCAATCCCATATGTTGATCATTGGTTTTCAGTTACGCACGTAGATGTAACTGACGTGTTAAGACGCCTGACAACCCAAGGTCTGTCTGCCAGTCTGCCTGTCTGTTGAATTCCATTCATAACTTCTCTCACGCTTTCAACGTTGTCAAAAGGCATGTCTGTACGTATCGATGTGTTCTAGGGAGTCGGAGAAAGACACAACCCGACGTCCGTTTGTGTGTCTGTCTGTCTGTCTGTGTGTCTGTCTGCTTGCCTACCTGTCTGTCTGTCTGCATGTCTGTCTGTGGAAATGTTGTAAATTATTCACATCATATTTATTACATGCTCATGTAAAGACATGCGTCTTAGCTTGTTATCAGATGTTGATTATGGAATCTATACATGTGATATAATATAATGCAAATGGTAGTAGGTCCATTGACCCTACGTTTGTCTGTCCGTCCTCCTGTCGAATTCCATTCATAACTTTGTCTGTGTACATGTCGATGTGTTCTTGGGAGTCGGAGAAAGATATTTTCTTTCTTCCTTTTTTGTAATGGCATTAAAGAAATTAAGTGAGTTAACTTTGGACAATAAGACTGGTCGACTATCGTACAGATTGTAAATATACTCATTGTACAGTTACAGATTTGATATTGTACATAGACGTATTTAGATGTTGCATTGTACATATGTGCTCCTTTTCACCCAAGAAATGATCAGCATCGTAGCGCTACGACAGTCGTAACTCCCACACTTTAACATAGACTTACGACAGTCGTAACTCCCACACATTAACATAGACTTACGACTGTCGTAACTCCCACACTTTGACATAGACTTACGACAGTCGTAACTCCCACACATTAACATAGACTTACGACTGTCGTAACTCCCACACTTTGACATAGACTTACGACTGTTGTAACTCCCCCACTTTAACATAGACCTACGACTGTCAGAGCGCTACAATCGCTTTGAGGAACGGGGGCCAGACCCTAAAATATATATCTACATTATTGGTAATAATTGTGAATTGTTCTTTATGGTGTCCTGTTGTCTACAAACTATAATTTCTTTTCAATGTTTAAAGAACTATTATATGAGAAAGGAATTTTGTATTCGTTGTAATCTCACCTGTATAAATTAAGAATGTAATATAGTACTTCAGAACTCCTAAAGGAAAACGTATTATTTCATATTTTAATGATGACAACACATGTACCGAAAATAGCATTCCATATTTTGTTTCTTGTATGAGTAACAGCATACCTCTGCTTCAGTAACTGTTGGAGGATATTGTAACACATGGTTGCGTGTAATGTAATTCTGTTCAGATATAAATGTAAACTTTTGAGAATAACTCTTAGTTTTACTTACTTAACACCATATATTTACATCGTATATCCCAAGTGAACAATTCTGTAACAGAGAGTCAGAAATAAATACATTAACCGTGTTATGCATTTTGTGTTATCTACTTCAAGCTGACTGGCTGCTACTGAATGGTAGCTTGCAAGTCGTTTACCATAGTTGTTTGGGCAAGACTGTAATGAATCGATATGATAACCGAACTTCCTGACATTGACGCCAAACATTGTCAAGAGCTGTTTTCCGTTCTTTCATTATGTTATATTTGGGATTACACTTTCTTAGTAAAGTACAGATTTTAGTATTTTTTGCTGGGTTGGGTCCCATCCGGGATTCAAGTCGGACAACTGATAGTCTAGAGGGGACTTGTGTACATCTGACAAGTGTAAATTGGCATGGCTCCGATGACCGAAAGCTTTGATTACACAATGTCATTTAGAAGTTGTGGTCGGATACACTTTTTTAAGTAAAGTACAGACTCTAGTGCTTTTTCTTGGGCTGAATCAGAAGCAGAAATGAGTGTGTTTGTGAGTCACAGTGTTACGTCGTATGAACATTATTTCACCCATATTGTCTGCACACTTACACAGTTTAAACCACAGTTTAAATAATAATAATAATAATAATAGGCCATTTATATAGCGCCTTTCCACGTCACAAGGATATGCTCAAAGCGCTTCCTGAGCTCAAGTTAAAATTATATACAGTTGGCAGGTACGGATGATTGGAAGTCACTTGTAGCGAAGAAATAGATGAGTCTTTAGTCGTGTTTTGAATGTACTTAGGGAAGGAGATGATTTTAACTCGATAGGGAGAGAGTTCCACAGAGAAGCTGCTGCATATGAAAAGGTCCTTGAGCCAAATGATTTGAGATTGTAGCTCGGGACAGCAAGTAACAGTTGTTGTGATGAGCGCAGGGTTCTTTCTGGAGAGTAATGTGTCAGAAGGTCTTGAAGGTAGGAAGGTCCTGAGTTGTAGAAAGACTGGTAGGTGAGGCAGAGAATCTTGAAATCAATCCTTTCACGAATACGGAGCCAGTGTAGAGAGTTTAGGATGGGAGAGATGTGACAGCGAGGACTGGTGAGAGTGATGATGCGTGCAGCTTTGTTCTGGATTTTCTGAAGACGATGGAGTTGAGAGGAAGAGATGCCAAACAGTAAACTGTTGCAGTAATCCAGGCGGGATAAAATCAGTGTCCGCACAAGGGTGGCAGTGGCTTCTTTTGTTAGGACTTTGCGGATGCTGCCGATGTTCTTCAGATGGTAGTGGCAGGTCTTTACTAGATGATTTATTTAAATGAGTTTCTTAAAATATATACTTATTAATTACATTATTATTGACAAACCGAAAAGTCATAGGACAAAAGTTTAAAACAAGCAATTTATCATACCCATTACACAGTAACAATTAATGATAAACATTGAGATGCAGATGCAATGGGAAAAAAGGTTTTTAGATTTATTGTTTCATGGTGTAAGTGCCTCTCAGTTGTTATGTACTTGGAACGCAACTGGTTGTATTCCTGGTGGAATAACAAAGGCTGTGTTTTAGATTTTTTGAGTTTGGTGAGGGTAAGGTCAACCTCTGGTGTCACCATCTGCCAGGGTGGGGGAAGACAAAAGTCGGTTAGGTCAACCTCTGGTGTCACCATCTATCAGGGTGGGGAAGACAGAAGTCGGTAAGGTGAACCTCTGTTGTCATCATCTGCTAGGGTGGGAAAGACAGAAGTCGGTAAGGTGAACCTCCAGTGTCACCATCTACCAGGGTGGGAAAGACAAAAGTCGGTTAGGTCAACCTCTGGTGTCACCATCTGCTAGGGTGGGAAAGACAGAAGTCGGTAAGGTCAACCTCTGGTGTCACCATCTACCAGGATGGGAAAGACAGAAGTCGGTAAGGTCAACCTCCAGTGTCACCATCTACCAGGGTGGGGGAAGACAAAAGTCGGTTAGGTCAACCTCTGGTGTCACCATCTGCCAGGATGGGGAAGACAGAAGTCGGTAAGGTGAACCTCTGTTGTCACCATCTGCCAGGGTGGGAAAGGCAGAAGTCGGTAAGGTCAACCTCTGGAGTCACCATCTACCAGGGTGGGGAAGACAGAGGTCGGTGAGGTCAACCTCTGGTGTCACCATCTGCCAGGGTGGGGAAGACAGAAGTCGGTAAGGTGAACCTCTGTTGTCACCATCTACCAGGGTGGGAAAGGCAGAAGTCGGTAAGGTCAACCTCTGGAGTCACCATCTACCAGGGTGG